TCCCATGGGGAAGGAAGGGGTCTCTTTATGGTCTCTCTGTGGTGCCTGAAGACCCCCATGTTGTGTTCCAGAACAAGATCGTGGACCGGTGCGAGCGGCTCCAGCTGCAGAGCGCTGCCATCACCCAGCATGTGGACAAGGTGCTGCCGGCCAAGGACCAGGCTGTCCTGGTGAGTCACGATGATCCCTGTGGCAGGGGCCCTTTTTAGGGGTGGTGTTGGCAGCAGAGGCGCTGTTGTTGGGGATGAACAGGGCTGATGTTCTCCTGTCTCCTCGCTCCGGCAGAGTGCGGCCAACATGGCGCGGGAGCTGGTGATCCAGAGGCTGATCTTCGTGGGGAATGCGTGCGAGAATGAAGAGCAGCGGCTGCTGGAGAAGGTGCACGTGGAGGAGGAGCGGGCGCACCAGAGCATCCTGACCCAGCGGGTGCACTGGAGTGAGGCTCTGCAGAAACTGGCTGCCCTCCGAACCTACCTGGTGGACATGATCACCAACCTGGATGACCAGGGCCTGGTGGTGAGTACTGCTCCTTGTACCTAGGGTCAGCTCAATCAGCTCGGAGGTGACCTAAGCTTTTAATTTATAGGACTTAAATATGGTGTTCAGCTGCTTGCTGCACAGATAGCATGGAGGCAGAGTTGGACAGGACCTACATTTGCAGGTCTAGCTCAAGGAATCTCCTTCACCTGGTTCCTTGAGCCAGGTTCCTGGCTCCTTCCTGTGCCAGGAACCTGTTGCTCCTTCACCTGGCTCAAGCCCCTGACAAGCCCCTGTGGTCCTAGAGCATCTGCTCTACCTGATTCTGCTTCTACTTGCAGTGAGGTACAGAACCACCCAGGCTCAGGTCTCCCAAGAAGCTTCAAACTTCTTGGCTTGAAGCTGCCAGCTCTCAGATGCTCTTCTGCTGGACAGCCAGGAAGCTCTGGGTTTGGGAGCTGCTCTTAGAGCAGTTAATGGAGCCACCAGTTTTCTAGAGCTCTGTCCAGTTTTAACCAAAACGTGACCCTTGGGAGCACCTGCAGATCTTCTTGAGAGCCTGTCTGGCACATCTCTGCTGGGGGTATTTACCATGCAGACCAGCACATGCTTCCCTTTGCTCAGTTCCTCCTCTGGCTATTAAATCATCTCAGTTTCCCCAAGCAATTCCTTGGACACGAGCAGGAGGCACATACCTCCTGCCTTGCTCTCAGCCTCTGCTTGTTATGTGTAACTTGTGAAGTGGGAGGCAGCGGCTCTGCTTGAAAACAGAACTGTTCCCACAGGCAGAAGGTAGATGCTGTTCCTTCGGTGGGAAGCGAAGGGTGGGTTCTCAGCTTGCTGGGCTGTGGCCTCGCTGGGGGGAGCAGGGGGTGGAAAGCAAGATCCATCCCATGCCTGTGGCAGAAAACAGCGAGACCCTCAGTTTCTCCTTTTGCCATGTAGCGGAGGGGAAGTGGGGATCACACATTCCCCACCTTGGGATGCTGGTGTTGGTGCTTGTGTCTGTCAGGAATCGATGTGTCATGTCACAAGACAGTGAAAGGCACACAGAGCACCCTGCAGCTTGTATTTGAGCAGGGATCAAATGTTCTACCACTGCTTTAACAGGGCTGTACCTTGAGAACACACCATTGCCAGCGGGTACAGAAACAAGTGGGACTGCCTAGGAGGTTGTGTGACTCTTGGCTTAGGTCCTCTGCAGCCTCACCCCTCACTGACAGCTTTGGGGGGTGTTTGCTGCAAGCAAAGGGTGTTCCTGCAGCATGCCCCGATGGGCTGGGGGACGGGGACCTCTGGGCTGGGGTTCTCATGCTCTGCGCAAGGCAGGGTGCAGTGTGAGAGCTCCCAGATGCAGACAGGCTGGTGCCTATCAGAGGCTGTGGAATTAGAGCTGGTTCTTTGTGGGTCCTGAGTCAGGGAGTGGAAAGTGCTGTGGCTGGAGAAAATGGGTGCTGGTTCCCCCTGCTCCCCAGGGCAAGCACTGAGGTGAAGAGTGGTTTCTCTGGGCCGGGAAGGAGAACAGTGCTCCCTGGGTTTGCAGTGCCCAGCCTATGTTTGGGATTTTATCTGTGGGGATTGCTGCTGTGATGACTCTTTCTCTCCTTGTCCCCAGCATGCAGAACAGGAGATCTTCCAGAGGTTAGTACCCAGCTGCTCCGGGTCCTTTCCCTGCTCCAAGCTTGCCTGGACCCCTTGGCTCCGGCTGTGAGCAGCATGCCATTGCTCAGGCAGCTGGTGACACCCCTCTTTCTTCTTTCACGCTGCTCTTGTGGGGCTCAAGGACACAGACTAGAGATCCCTCTTGTCTCCTCTTCACACGGTGCTTGAGACGGAGCCGTCTGGCACCTAGAATCGCTCCATGTGCAATGTCTCTCTGAATGAACTGACTCTTGCTTATGGTAGAAAACTCCACGGGGCTCACCGGGAGATGGAGCATACCTGACCCTGGCCTGATGGCAGGAGGTGGGATGGTCTGTCCAGAAACCTGGAGTACTCCATGCCTGTGGGGCTGCTGGTGCCACATTCCTCGGTGCAGCAGCGTGCCCAGACTTGTGCTGCCTCCTTCCCTGAGAGGTAGGTTGCACAGGGGGTGAACCAAGGGCAGATGTCAGCATTCCAAGGCCAGCTTCAACGGGGCTTGGAGCAACCTGCTCCAGTGGAAGGTGTCCCTGCAGGTGTCCTGTGGCAGGGGTTGGAACTGGAGGAGCTTTAAGGTCCCTTCAACCCAAACCAGTCTGGGATTCTGTGATTTCTGACAGTCATCACCAGTAACGTGGGGCTGCCCTTCCTTGAGAAGGCAATGTGGTGGCTGCATTTTGCAGGCATTTATTTCCGGGGCTGCTACAAGGCTGCTGGCTGGCACTGGCTGGACTCTGCTGCCCAGAGGACTTTCAGGGGTATCTTTGCCTGGAACCTGCTTGTAGAGATTAAGAAATGTGCCACAGCACGTCACAGCAGCCTGTGCCAGAGCCTTCACTTACAACCATGAGTTGTGTGTGCTGCAGGCCGTGGGGAATCCAGCAGATGCTCCATCTCCTGGCTGTGCTCTATGACATCTGGAGTTGCTCTCCTGTTGCATCCCCCCTACTCTGAGCCAGGCTGTGTTGGTGCAGAGGGAATTCTCACTGTCTCCCACCAGCCTCTTCCTTGTGCTCCTCTTGCACCTCAATGCCTGCTCTCAGATGCATTTACTCTGTGTTTGCTGAGTGAGGAGGCTGTTGGCTCAGGCTGCTGGGATTGTACTTAAAACACTGAAGTCCTTTCAGATGGGGCTGTAATCAAAGCCAACCGAAA